GGGTGAAAGTTAGGGGGTGAGAGTTAGGGGGTGAGAGTTAGGGGCTAAGTGTTAGGGGGTGAGAGTTGTGGGGTGAGTTAGGGGGTGAGAGTTAAGGGGTGAGTTAGGGGGTGAGTTAGGGGGTGAGAGTTAGGGGGGTGAGTTAGGGGGTAAGAGTTAGGGGGTGAGTTAAGGGGTGAGAGTTAGAGGGTAAGTGTTAGGGGGTGAGAGTTAGGGGGTGAGTTAGGGGGTGAGTTAGGGGGTGAGTTAGGGGGTGAGAGTTACGGGGTGTAGTTAGGGGGTGAGTTAGGGGGTGAGTTAGGGGGTGAGTTAGGGGGTGAGTACACAGGTAGTGAGTTAGGGGGTGAGTTAGGGGGTGAGTACACAGGTGGTGAGTTAGGGGGTGAGTTAGGGGGTGAGTTAGGGGGTGAGTTAGGGGGTGAGTTAGGGGGTGAGTACACAGGTGGTGAGTTAGGGGGTAATAGTTAGGGAGTAAGAGTTATGGAGTTAGGGGGTGAGAGTTAGGGGTAAGAGTTAGGGGGTTAGGGGTAAGAGTTAGGGGTAAGAGTTAGGGGGTTAGGGGATAAGAGTTAGGGGGTAAGAGTTAGGAGGTTAGGGGGTAAGAGTTAGGGGGTGAGAGTTAGGGTGAGTTAGGGGGTAAGAGTTAGGGGGTGAGTTAGGGTGGGTTAGGGGGTTAGGGGGTAAGAGTTAGGGGGTAAGAGTTAGGAGGTTAGGGGGTAAGAGTTAGGGGGTGAGAGTTAGGGTGAGTTAGGGGGTAAGAGTTAGGGGGTGAGTTAGGGTGGGTTAGGGGGGTTAGGGGGTAAGAGTTAGGGGGTAAGAGTTAGTGGTGAGTTAGAGGGTAAGAGTTAGGGGGTAAGAGTTAGGAGGTTAGGGGGTAAGAGTTAGGGGGTGAGAGTTAGGGTGAGTTAGGGGGTAAGAGTTAGGGGGTGAGTTAGGGTGGGTTAGGGGGTTAGGGGGTAAGAGTTAGGGGGTAAGAGTTAGTGGTGAGTTAGAGGGTAAGAGTTAGGGGGTAAGAGTTAGTGGTGAGTTAGGGGGTAAGAGTTAGGGGTGAGAGTTAGGGGGTAAGAGTTAGGGGTCAGAGTTAGTGGGTAAGAGTTAGGGGTAAGAGTTAGGGGGTTAGGGGGTAAGAGTTAGGGGGTAAGAGTTAGGGGGTAAGAGTTAGGGGGTTAGGGGGTAAGTGTTAAGGGGTAAGAGTTAGGGGTGAGTTAGGGGGTTAGGGGTTAAGAGTTAGGGGGTAAGAGTTAGGGTGAGTTAGGGGGTGAGAGTTAGGGGGTAAGAGTTAGGGGGTGAGAGTTAGGGGGCAAGTTAGGGGGTGAGAGTTAGGGGGCAAGTTAGGGGGTAAGAGTTAGGGGGTGAGAGTTAGGGTGAGTTAGGGGGTAAGAGTTAGGGGGTAAGAGTTAGGGTGAGTTAGGGGGTGAGAGTTAGGGTGAGTTAGGGGGTAAGAGTTAGGGGGTGAGAGTTAGGGGGTATGAGTTAGGGGGTAAGAGTTAGGGGGTAAGAGTTAGGGGGTGAGAGTTAGGGGGTGAGAGTTAGGGTGAGTTAGGGGGTATGAGTTAGGGGGTGAGAGTTAGGGGGTAAGAGTTAGGGGTGAGAGTTAGGGTGAGTTAGGGGGTGAGAGTTAGGGTGGGTTAGGGGGTAAGAGTTAGGGGGTGAGTTCACAGGGGGTAAGAGTTAGGGGTAAGAGTTAGGGGGTTAGGGGGTCAGAGTTAGGGTGAGTTAGGGGGTAAGAGTTAGGGGGTAAGAGTTAGGGGGTATGAGTTAGGGAGTAAGAGTTAGGGGTGAGAGTTAGGGTGAGTTAGGGGGTGAGAGTTAGGGTGAGTTAGGGGGTAAGAGTTAGGGTGGGTTAGGGGTAAGAGTTAGGGGGTGAGTTCACAGGGGGTAAGAGTTAGGGGTAAGAGTTAGGGGGGTAGGGGGTAAGAGTTAGGGTGAGTTAGGGGGTAAGAGTTAGGGGGTAAGAGTTAGGGGGTATGAGTTAGGGGGTAAGAGTTAGGGGTGAGAGTTAGGGTGAGTTAGGGGGTGAGAGTTAGGGGGTAAGAGTTAGGGGTGAGAGTTAGGGTGAGTTAGGGGGTAAGAGTTAGGGGGTAAGAGTTAGGGGGTGAGAGTTAGGGAGTTAGGGGGTAAGAGTTAGGGGTAAGAGTTATGGGGTGAGAGTTAGGGGGTGAGAGTTAGGGGGTAAGAGTTAGGGGTTTAGGGGGTAAGAGTTAGGGGGTAAGAGTTAGGGTGAGTTAGGGGGTAAGAGTTAGGGGGTAAGAGTTAGGGGGTAAGAGTTAGGGGGTGAGAGTTAGGGTGAGTTAGTGGGTAAGAGTTAGGGTGAGTTAGGGGGGAAGAGTTAGGGGGTAAGAGTTAGGGGGTAAGAGTTAGGGGGTAAGAGTTAGGGTGAGTTAGGGGGTAAGAGTTAGGGGGTAAGAGTTAGGGGGTAAGAGTTAGGGGGTGAGAGTTAGGGTGAGTTAGGGGTAAGAGTTAGGGGGTAAGAGTTAGGGGGTAAGAGTTAGGGGGTGAGAGTTAGGGTGAGTTAGGGGGTAAGAGTTAGGGTGAGTTAGGGGGTAAGAGTTAGGGGGTAAGAGTTAGGGTGAGTTAGGGGTAAGAGTTAGGGGGTAAGAGTTAGGGGGTAAGAGTTAGGGGGTGAGAGTTAGGGTGAGTTAGGGGGTAAGAGTTAGGGTGAGTTAGGGGGTAAGAGTTAGGGGGTAAGAGTTAGGGGGTATGAGTTAGGGGGTGAGAGTTAGGGTGAGTTAGGGGGTAAGAGTTAGGGGGTAAGAGTTAGGGGGTATGAGTTAGGGGGTGAGAGTTAGGGTGAGTTAGGGGGTAAGAGTTAGGGGGTAAGAGTTAGGGGGTAAGAGTTAGGGGGTAAGAGTTAGGGGTGAGAGTTAGGGTGAGGTAGGGGGTGAGAGTTAGGGTGAGTTAGGGGGTGAGAGTTAGGGTGAGTTAGGGGGTGAGAGTTAGGGTGAGTTAGGGGGTAAGAGTTAGGGTGAGTTAGGGGGTGAGAGTTAGGGGGTAAGAGTTAGGGGGTAAGAGTTAGGGGGTCTGAGTTAGGGGGTATGAGTTAGGGGGTAAGAGTTAGGGTGAGTTAGGGGGTAAGAGTTAGGGGGTAAGAGTTAGGGGGCCCTCACTGTTCTTCAGCGTGCTGGGAGTGATGTTCCCACGCCTGCCCATCATGAGCGAGACCTGTTCCTGGACCCTCTGTCCCTCCCTGCCCCCCACCGCATCGCCCCCCATGGAGCCCGCGGGGGGCAGCGCCAGGGTGGAGGAGCCCCCCAGTGGGGGGGAGCCCCCCCTCGTCACCGTGCGGAGAAAGCCGTCCATAGACTTCCTAGGTGGGGGTAGGGTCGGGTGGGTGGGACACGGAGGGATGGGAGGATTGGTGGTGGTGGTGGTGGTGGGTGTGGGTGGGTGGGTGAGTGAGTGGGTGGGTGGGGGGGTGGGTGAGTGGGTGAGTGAGTGGGTGAGTGAGTGAGTGAGTGGGTGAGTGAGTGAGTGGGTGGGTGAGTGAGTGGGTGAGTGAGTGAGTGAGTGGGTGAGTGTTTGAGTGAGTGAGTGGGTGAGTGAGTGGGTGGGTGAGTGAGTGGGTGAGTGGGTGGGTGATTGAGTGGATGGGTGAGTGAGTGAGTGGGTGAGTGGGTGAGTGAGTGAGTGAGTGGTGAGTGAGTGAGTGGGTGGGTGAGTGAGTGAGTGCGTGAGTGGGTGAGTGAGTGAGTGGGTGAGTGAGTGAGTGGGTGAGTGAGTGAGTGAGTGGGTGAGTGAGTGAGTGAGTGGGTGAGTGTTTGAGTGAGTGAGTGGGTGAGTGAGTGGGTGGGTGAGTGAGTGGGTGAGTGGGTGGGTGAGTGAGTGGATGGGTGAGTGAGTGAGTGAGTGGGTGAGTGGGTGAGTGAGTGAGTGATGAGTGAGTGAGTGGGTGGGTGGGTGAGTGAGTGAGTGCGTGAGTGGGTGAGTGAGTGAGTGAGTGGGTGAGTGAGTGAGTGGGTGAGTGAGTGAGTGAGTGGGTGAGTGAGTGAGTGAGTGGGTGAGTGGGTGAGTGGGTGAGTGGGTGGGTGAGTGAGTGGGTGAGTGGGTGAGTGAGTTAGTGGGTGAGTGGGTGAGTGAGTGAGTGGGTGAGTGGGTGAGTGAGTGAGTGAGTGGGTGAGTGAGTGGGTGAGCGAGTGAGTGGGTGATTGGGTGAGTGGGTGAGTAGGTGAGTGGGTGGGTGAGTGGGTGAGTGAGTGGGTGAGTGAGTGAGTGGGTGAGTGGGTGGGTGAGTGAGTGGGTGAGTGAGTGAGTGGGTGAGTGAGTGAGTGGGTGAGTAGGTGAGTGAGTGGGTGAGTGGGTGGGTGAGTGGGTGAGTGGGTGAGTGAGTGAGTGGGTGAGTGGGTAAGTGGGTGGGTGGGTGGGTGAGTGAGTGGGTGAGTGAATGAGTGAGTAGGTGGGTGAGTGAGTGAGTGAGTGGGTGAGTGAGTGAGTGAGTGGGTGAGTGGGTGGGTGAGTGAGTGGGTGAGTGGGTGAGTGTGTGGGTGTGTCGGTGGGTGGGTGAGTGGGTGGGTGTGTCAGTGGGTGGGTGAGTGGGTGGGTGAGTGGGTGGGTGAGTCAGTAGGTGGGTGAGTGAGTGGGTGAGTCGATGTGTGGGTGAGTTATTCGCTGCCAAACCGCAGCGGGGTATAAGTTCACGCCCGATACACTGTCAGGGCAAGTGTTGTTGGCGTTAAGCGGCGATACACATGCAAAGGAAAAGATCACCCGTATAGCCTACGAAAGAATTTGGGGGCAAGTGCTGTAAGCGAGCACCTATGAAGGCCGGCACGGCACACGAGGGAGTGGGTAGTCAGCACAACCACGCCCGGCCGCCTTTGTCTCCCCAGTGACTATGTTTACTGCACATAGACTAACACTACCCATAGACTAACACTGCACATAGACTAACACTTCACATAGACTAACACTCACATAGACTAACACTACACATGACTAACACTGCACATAGACTAACACTACACATAGACTAACACTACACATAGACTAACACTGCACGTAGACTAACACTGCACATAGACTAACACTCACATAGACTAACACTACACATAGACTAACACTGCCCATAGACTAACACTGCACATAGACTAACACTCACATAGACTAACACTACACATAGACTAACACTGCCCATAGACTAACACTGCACATAGACTAACACTACACATAGACTAACACTGCACATAGACTAACACTCACATAGACTAACACTGCACATAGACTAACACTCACATAGACTAACACTCACATAGACTAACACTACACATAGACTAACACTGCCCATAGACTAACACTGCACATAGACTAACACTACACATAGACTAACACTGCACATAGACTAACACTCACATAGACTAACACTGCACATAGACTAACACTACACATAGACTAACACTACACATAGACTAACACTACACATAGACTAACACATAGACTAACACTACACATAGACTAACACATAGACTAACACTACACATAGACTAACACTACACATAGACTAACACTACCCATAGACTAACACTACACATAGACTAACACTACACATAGAATAACACTACACATAGACTAACACTACCCATAGACTAACACTGCACATAGACTAACACTGCCCGTACACTAACACTCACATAGACTAACACTCACGTAGACTAACACTACACATAGACTAACACTCACATACACTAACATTGCACGTAGACTAACACTCACATAGACTAACACTGCACATAGACTAACACTACACATAGACTAACACTACACATAGACTAACACTGCTCATAGACTAACACTCACGTAGACTAACACTCACATAGACTAACACTACACATAGACTAACACTCACATAGACTAACACTCACGTAGACTAACAATCACATAGACTAACACTACACATACACTAACACTGCCCATAGACTAACACTGCACATAGACTAACACTACACGTAGACTAACACTACACATAGACTAACACTGCCCATAGACTAACACTGCCCATAGACTAACACTCACATAGACTAACACTACACATAGACTAACACTCACATAGACTAACACTGCCCATAGACCAACACTCACATAGACTAACACTCACATAGACTAACACCCACATAGACTAACACTACACATAGACTAACACTACACATAGACTAACACTACAAATAGACTAACACTGCACATAGACTAACACTACACATAGACTAACACTCACATAGACTAACACTACACATAGACTTACACTACACATAGACTAACACTACACATAGACTAACACTACACATAGACTAACACTACACATAGACTAACACTGCACATAGACTAACACTACACATAGACTAACACTCACGTAGACTAACACTCACATAGACTAACACTACACATAGACTAACACTCACATAGACTAACACTCACGTAGACTAACACTACACATAGACTAACACTGCACATAGACTAACACTACACATAGACTAACACTGCCCATAGACTAACACTGCACATACACTAACACTGCACATAGACTAACACTACCCATAGACTAACACTCACATAGACTAACACTGCACATAGACTAACACTACACATAGACTAACACTACACATAGACTAACACTGCACCATAGACTAACACTGCACATAGACTAACACTGCACCATAGACTAACACTACACATAGACTAACACTACACATAGACTAACACTACACATAGACTAACACTGCACATAGACTAACACTACACATAGACTATCACTACCCATAGACTAACACTCACATAGACTAACACTCACATAGACTAACACTAAACATAGACTAACACTACACATAGACTAACACTGCCCATAGACTAACACTACACATAGACTAACACTGCACATAGACTAACACTCACATAGACTAACACTCACATAGACTAACACTACACATAGACTAACACTGCCATAGACTAACACTGGACCCATAGACCAACACTACCCATAGACTAACACTGCACATAGACTAACACTGGACCCATGGACTAACATTCACATAGACTAACACTCACATAGACTAACACTACACATAGACTAACACTACACATAGACTAACACTACCCATAGACTAACACTACACATAGACTAACACTACACATAGACTAACACTACACATAGACTAACACTACACATAGACTAACACTACACATAGACTAACACTACCCATAGACTAACACTACACATAGACTAACACTACACATAGACTAACACTCACATAGACTAACACTCACATAGACTAACACTACCCATAGACTAACACTACACATAGACTAACACTACACATAGACTAACACCCACATAGACTAACACTCACATAGACTAACACTACCCATAGACTAACACTGCACATAGACTAACACTACCCATAGACTAACACTGCACATAGACTAACACTCACATAGACTAACACTCACATAGACTAACACTCACATAGACTAACACTACACATAGACTAACACTACACATAGACTAACACTACCCATAGACTAACACTCACATAGACTAACACTACACATAGACTAACACTGCACATAGACTAACACTGCACATAGACTAACACTACCCATAGACTAACACTACACATAGACTAACACTGCACGTGGACTAACACTCACATAGACTAACACTCACATAGACTAACACTACACCCAGACTAACACTACACATAGACTAACACTACACATAGACTAACACTGCACATAGACTAACACTACACATAGACTAACACTCACATAGACTAACATTGCCCATGGACAAACACTGCACATAGACTAACACTTACATACACTAACACACCCCATAGACTAACACTACACATAGAATAACACTACACATAGTCTAACACTGCACATAGACTAACACTACCCATAGACTAACACTGCCCATAGACTAACACTACCCATAGACTAACACTACCCATAGACTAACACTACCCATAGACTAACACTCACATAGACTAACACTACACACAGACTAACACTCACATAGACTAACACTGCACATAGACTAACACTACCCATAGACTAACACTGCACATAGACTAACACTACACCAGGACTAACACTACACATAGACTAACACTGCACATAGACTAACACTACACATAGACTAACACGGCCCATAGACTAACACTGCCCATAGACTAACACTACACATAGACTAACACTACACATAGACTAACACTACACATAGACTAACACTGCACATAGACTAACACTACACATAGACTAACACTGCCCATAGACTAACACTGCACATAGACTAACATTGCCCATAGACTAACACTGCACATAGACTAACATTGCACATAGACTAACAGTACACATAGACTAACACTCACATAGACTAACACTGCACATAGACTAACACTGCCCATACACTAACACTGCACATAGACTAACACTGCACATAGACTAACACTACACATAGACTAACACTACCCATACACTAACACTACACATAGACTAACACTACACATAGACTAACACTCACATAGACTAACACTACACATAGACTAACACTGCACATAGACTAACACTACACATAGACAAACACTACATATAGACTAACACTACACATAGACTAACACTGCACATAGACTAACACTGCACATAGACTAACACTCACATAGACTAACACTACACATAGACTAACACTGCACATAGACTAACACTCACATAGACTAACACTACCCATAGACTAACACTGCACGTACACTAACACTGCACATAGACTAACACTGCACATAGACTAACACTGCACATAGACTAACACTGCACATAGACTAACACTGCACATAGACTAACATTCCGCAGATACTCACATTGAGTGAGTGGGCGGTTGAGTGAGTGGGTAAGTGGATGAGTGAGTGGGTGCGTGGATAAGTGGGTGAGTGGGTGGGTGAGTGAGTGAGTGGTTGGGTGAGTGAGTGGGTAAGTGGGTGAGTGAGTGGGTGAGTTAGTGGGTGATTGGGTGAGTGAGCAGGTGAGTGAGTGGGTAAGTGGGTGAGTTAGTGGGTGAGTGAGCAGGTGATTGAGTGGGTAATTGGGTGAGTGAGTGAGTGGGTAAGTGGGTGAGTGGTTGGGTGAGTGAGTGGGTAAGTGGGTGAGTGAGTGAGTGAGTGGGTGAGTTAGTGGGTGATTGGGTGAGTGAGCAGGTGAGTGAGTGGGTAAGTGGGTGAGTTAGTGGGTGAGTGAGCAGGTGAGTGAGTGGGTAAGTGGGTGAGTTAGTGGGTGAGTGAGCAGGTGATTGAGTGGGTAAGTGGGTGAGTGAGTGGGTAAGTGGGTGAGTGGTTGGGTGAGTGAGTGGGTAAGTGGGTGAGTGAGTGGGTGAGTGGGTGAGTTAGTGGGTGATTGGGTGAGTGAGCAGGTGAGTGAGTGGGTAAGTGGGTGAGTTAGTGGGTGAGTGAGCAGGTGATTGAGTGGGTAAGTGGGTGAGTGGGTAAGTGGGTGAGTGGTTGGGTGAGTGAGTGGGTAAGTGGGTGAGTGAGTGGGTGAGTGAGCAGGTGAGTGAGTGGGTAAGTGGTTGAGTGAGTGGTTGAGTGGGTAAGTGGGTGAGTGAGTGAGTGAGCAGGTGAGTGAGTGGGTGAGTGAGTGGGTCAGTGAGTGAGTGGGTGGGTGAGTGAGTGAGTGGGTGGGTGAGCGCGTGGGTGAGTGAGTGAGTTGGTTAGTGAGTGAGTGGTGAGTGGGCGGGTGAGTGATTGAGTGGTTCAGTGGTGTGGGTGAGTGGATAAGTGCGTGGGTGAGTGAGTGCGTGGGTGGATGAGTGAGTGAATTGGTGAGTGAGTGGGTGAGTGGTTGAGTGGCCGGGTGGGTGGACACGTGAGTGGGTGAGTGAGGTTCCACTGTGGAGCGAGAGAAGGGTGGGAGCATGTGGTGAGCGGCAGTGGTGAGGTGCTCACCTGTTACTTGGTGTCTGAACGGAGTGACAGGAAGGATCGATCGGGCGAGACACAAACTTAGCCTCACCCTAAGCCCCTCCCCTCCCCCACTAGCCCCTCCCCCTCTAGCCCCTCCCCCCCCCCCACTAGCCACTCCCCTCCCCCACTAGCCCCTCCCCCACTAGCCTCTCTCCGGCCCCGCCCCCACCTGCCAGCCACTCCCCTCCCTTGCTCCGCCCCCACCTGCCAGCCCCTCCATTCTTCCACGAGCCCCTCCTCTGCCAGCCCCTCCCCACACTTAGGCCCCTCCCCATCAGCTCCTCGATTACCCTGACAGTGACGTAATCGATCAGCCCGCCGGTGACGTCACTACGGCGCTTGTGCCAGGCTAGGTGGAAGAGCTCACCCTCTCACACAGTCACTCACCCACTGACCCACCCATTCACTCACCCTCTCACCCATTCACTCACCCACTGACCGACCCATTCACTCACCCTCTCACTCATTCACTCACCCACTCACCTTTTCACTCACCCAGTCACTCACCCTCTCACCCAGTCACTCACCCACTCACCCATTCACTCACCCTCTCACCCATTCACTCACCCTCTCACCCAGTCACTCACCCACTGACCCACCCATTCACTCACCCTCTCACCCATTCACTCACCCACTCACCTTTTCACTCACCCAGTCACTCACCCTCTCACCCAGTCACTAACCTACTCACCCATTCACTCACCCTCTCACCCATTCACTCACTCTCTCACCCATTCACTCACCCTCTCACCCAGTCACTCACCCACTGACCCACCAATTCACTCACCCTCTCACCCATACACTCACCCATTCACCCTTTCACTCACCCAGTCACTCACCCACTTACCCATTCACTCACCCTCTCACCCATTCACTCACCCTCTCACCCAGTCACTCACCCACTCACCCACCCATCCACTCACCCTCTCACCCAGTCACTCACCCACTCACCCACCCATCCACCCACCCTCTCACCCATTCACTCACCCGCTCACCTTTTCACTCACCCTTTCACCCACCCACTCACCCATTCACTCACTTACCCATTCACTCACTCACCCTTTTACTCACCCACTCACCCATTCACTCACGCACTCACCCATTCACTCACGCACCTATTCACTCACCCACTCAGCGTTTCACTCACCCGTCCACTCACCCGTTCACTCACCCATTCCCCCCACCCACTCACCCATTCACTCACCCACTCAGCGTTTCACTCACCCGTCCACTCACCCGTCCACTCACCCATTCCCCCACCCACTCACCCATTCACTCACCCACTCAGCGTTTCACTCAATCGTCCACTCACCCGTCCACTCACCCATTCCCCCACCCACTCACCCATTCCCCCACCCACTCAGCGTTTCACTCACCCGTCCACTCACCCATTCACTCACCCATTCCCCCACCCACTCACCCATTCCCCCACCCACTCACCCATTCCCCCACCCACTCAGCGTTTCACTCACCCGTCCACTCACCCGTCCACTAACCCATTCCCCCACCCACTCACCCATTCACTCACCCACTCAGCGTTTCACTCAATCGTCCACTCACCCGTCCACTCACCCATTCCCCCACCCACTCACCCATTCACTCACCCACTCAGCGTTTCACTCACCCGTCCATTCACCCATTAACTCACCCATTCCCCCACCCACTCACCCATTCCCCCACCCACTCAGCGTTTCACTCACCCGTCCACTCACCCATTCACTCACCCATTCCCCCACCCACTCACCCATTCCCCCACCCACTCACCCATTCCCCCACCCACTCACCCATTCACTCACCCACTCAGCGTTTCACTCACCCGTCCACTCACCCATTCACTCACCCATTCCCCCACCCACTCACCCATTCCCCCACTCACCCATTCCCCCACCCACTCAGCGTTTCACTCACCCGTCCATTCACCCATTAACTCACCCATTCCCCCACCCACTCACCCATTCCCCCACCCACTCACCCATTCCCCCACCCACTCACCCATTCCCCCACCCACTCAGCGTTTCACTCACCCGTCCACTCACCCATTCACTCACCCATTCCCCCACCCACTCACCCATTCCCCCACCCACTCACCCATTCCCCCACCCACTCACCCATTCCCCCACCCACTCAGCGTTTCACTCACCCGTCCACTCACCCATTCACTCACCCATTCCTCCACCCACTCACCCATTGCCCCACCCACTCACCCATTCCCCCACCCACTCAGCGTTTCACTCACCCGTCCACTCACCCATTCACTCACCCAGTCCCCCACCCACTCACCCATTCCCCCACCCACTCACCCATTCCCCCACCCACTCAGCGTTTCACTCACCCGTCCACTCACCCGTCCATTCACCCATTCCCCCACCCACTCACCCATTCCCCCACCCACTCACCCATTCCCCCACCCACTCACCCATTCCCCCGCCCACTCAGCGTTTCACTCACCCGTCCTGTGATCCAGACATCCGTGATGATGTCACGTTGGGGCAGCCTGCACATCGTCGGACGCCACCCTCCCGCTGTAGCTCGCCTGCGCGGGTGCGTTGGGTCGTCTCTCCGGTAAAATTCTCGTGCGGGCACGACGCCGGGAGCGTCGTGGCTTCGCGAGGGCGGGGGAGGGCGATACGAACGGCGTTCCCGTTCCCCTCTCTCGCCCCGGTGCCCGTCCCGGAGACGCTCGCTCGCTCGTTCGCTGCTGGCAGGCCGGCGCCCGTGGCCGGCGGGACGCTGGCACGGCGCGACCGAGCGCCGCCCTCTCCTCCGGCTCCGGCTCCGGGTCCGGCTCCGGCTCCGGCTCCGGCTCCGGCTCGCTGGCAACGAAACGGTGACCGACGCTCGGCGCTTTTCCCGCCCCCGCTCCCGCGGACGACGCTGGAATTCTCGCCGTGCTTGGCTCGAGCTGCGGCGGTGCCCAGAGCGGAACGGCGGGCGCCGCATTCGCACGGCGCGGCGTGGTCGCTGCTCGGCGAGCCTCGCCGTCGTGGATGAGTTGCCGGGGACTCCTTCCGCTGGCAGGCTTCTTCTTCCTTCGTCGGTGGTGGTCTCCCGCGTCGGGGGCCGGCTGTCGCCATCTTCGGTAGCCGATGGTCGCAGTCTTCTGCCGCTGGTACCTGCGATGCGATGCGCGGAACCGTGTCTCTCTTTTCACGCCAAGATGTATTTCTCCGCTCGCCTTCTCACAAAGGACCGAAACTTCCTTTGATCTCGCTCCGTGTCCGTGTGTCCGTGTGTCCGTGTGTCCGTGTGTCCGTGTCCGTGCGCGTGTCATTTATTAAGCCATCTGTGTCCCTCCCCGGTTTGATTACGGTCGCCATCCGCCAAGCGATCTTTTTCAACCGTGGAACACAGGTGCCCCACCCGCAAGAAAAGCTCTCTGTCTGTGAGAGTCGTTTCCCTCGCTCTGGGCGTTACCTCCTTTGCTGTCCCGTGCTGCGGGAAGACAAAGACGGTTGGGAGGCTCTTTTCCTATGGGACGCAGTTCATCTTGGTTGTGTAGGTTTGACCTATTTCGCCTCATCTCTTCTGGACAAACCTCGGTTTAATACTGCGTAGTTATTTTTTGGTTTCGATTTAAAGCGTTCGTGACTGCAAGGATTCATCTTCTTTGGTTCTTTCGGTAAAGTCACCACCACGTAGAATGAGAATAAAATAATAAATTGATAAAATAAAATAATATTATTGTATTATTTTATATTATTGTATTATTTTATTTTATCAATTTATTATATTATTCTCATTCTACGTGACTTTACCGAAAGAACCAAAGAAAAATTGTTATTTGGTTTATGTTTCCCGAGATTTGTGATTCAACATCACCATCACCACGCATTTCTTAGGGTTTATTAATTTTTTTGCTCCCTGTCTGCATCCAGGGAACCGTGATTTTAATTTTTCGAGGTCAGAGATTTCGCTTAGTTTGGACTTAAGCTGTCGTGATTGCAGGAACTCATGTGCTTCGGTTCTCTTGGTAAAGTCACGCAGATGGATAGAAAGACACGATGACAAGTGATTTGAGGAATGCTGCAGTCGATAATGTCGACTTATTCTTGCGGCCAAACTTCGACTCTTTCGCGCGGAAAAACGTACATCGGTCGTGACGTTTCGCCCTGCGCTCTGCGCCCGTGCCTGCGATTCTGGATGTTTGTTTGCGAACCGTCAAAAGATGCCAGGCGGGTTATGGCATGCGGTCCTCTGGCAATCTGGAGATTCTGCGGATCGTCGTCAACCTCCCTGTGCCTCGGAGTTGATTATTTTAATGGCCTTTCACGACCTCCAGATGCCTGATGCTTGTGGGAGGTAGCGGGTTTGAGAACGGTCTATTTAGTTATTTTATCTTATCGATCATCATCATCATTATTGTTGTTGTTGTTAAACAAATGGCAGAATTATTCTTCTTTGGTTCTAATCGGTAAAGTCACGTAGAATGAGAATAAAATAATAAATTGATATTTTTATTTTCATTTTGTTCTCATTCTACGTGGTGGTGGTGACTTTACCGAAAGAACCAAAGAAGATGAATCACTGCAGTCACGAAAGCTTTAAATAGGCAGAATTATTGTTAATATTACTTTTTGGGAAAAGGCCTCTATATATATACAACATGAGGTTCAGCAGATTTTCTCATGTGGGGTGGGGGTCAGAGATTGCATCACCACCCTTCATGAAACCACCAAATCCATCCCTCCCCCTCCACCACTAGCCCCGCCCCTTTCCCTTACCAGCCCCGCCCCTCCCCCAGTATCCCTGCCTCTTCCCCACTAGCTCCACCCCTCCACCCTACCAGCCCCGCCCCTTCCCCACTAGCCCCGCCCTTGCCTTACCAGCCCCGCCCCTTCCCCACTAGCCCCGCCCTTGCCTTACCAGCCCCGCCCCTTCCCTACTAGCCCCGCCCTTGCCTTACCAGCCCCGCCCCTTCCCCACTAGCCCCGCCCTTGCCTTACCAGCCCCGCCCCTACCCCGCTAACCCTGCCCCTCTGGCAACGAACTCCCCGTCCGTCCTGTAGCCCCGCCCCTCAACCATAGCCCCACCCCTTAGCCACTAGCCCCCCCCCCCCCACTA